GGATGAGGGTATGTCCGAAACCACAACGGCAGCCTCGAAAATCTGGCCCCCCATCACGGCAGGTTGATGATCAACGACAGTGGTAGGAATCTCCGTCGACGGGGCAGATACGACGGTTGGCTCCACCTCTACAGGAGAAGGGGTATCAATCCCCGCCCCAGATCTTGTCAAGGGAGAATCATCTAGATGAATTACAGTTGGAGGGGTTGTCTCGAATTCCACTCACCGCCTCTTAGACGGCCCTTCGTCTTCCTCAACACGGGGAGATTCACCCGTCAGATGAGCAACGCAAGTTGGGACCTCAGTCTGAGAAGTGGCCTCCACAGGAATAACTACAGTCGCAGACTCAACTGAAGCAGCCCTCGACGAAGACCAAGCGATAGGTGCTGCAGCAGGGCATTCAGACGACGCCGGCTGACGAAAAGCTAATTGAGGAGCCCTCGCTCTCTGCACTCTCCCTGGCATCGATAAACAACACCTAAGCTAATGGCATTGACAAACATCACATAACCTACAGCACATGAGTGGTACGTGTTGCAGCAGGGCGAGTAGACGACATCGGCTGACGAAAAGCTAATGGAGGAGCCCTCGCTCTCCGCACTCTCCCTGGCATCGACAAAAAACACATAAGAAACTAAGTAAAAAGAGAGGAAAAATAGAAAACAGAAACGACATCTCACCTGTAAGGGGCCTGTGTCCAAATTTTTCATAAAAGGCCGACCATATGCGAACCCCCGCCATATGGGGAAGGATGGAACTCACCCACTCATGGATACCTTCGACATATGGAGGGGAAATTTCTCGGCTATAGAGACATGACAGGGTTTAGTACTGTAACAGAAAGCGGTCGGGCATCTCACCGACTAAAAACATAAGAAACTTACGCGCAAAGTTCCACTTCTCAGGGAACCCCGTTGGATCCGCCACGATGCGCTCGGTCCGCACATAGAAATAATTCTCGTAGAAACGACGGTTAGCCCTGTCGTCCATTTTCACCACCAGACTCTTCGACCCCCGAGGACGCGTATCAATCATCGTGCCGCGAATGAGTTGAGGGGCAAAGATATTGAGCATGTTATCCAAAGTGATCTCACGACCGACAAGTTCCGCAAACTTGAGCAACATAAGGAACGACTTGTACAGGTATGGCGAAAGTTGGGCGGGGCATACCTCGTAAAAATAGCAGAAATCTACCACCAGGAGAGGGAGAGAAAGTGTGTATCCAATCAGAAAGGGGTAGGCGTAGAACACGCAATACCTGGGGCAGTCAAAATGGACTATGTCGTTCCCTACTGCCGATTGTATGTCAACGTAACTAGGGATTCCTCACCTAGCTTTCAACTCTGCAATGTCTTCTTCTTTTATAACAGAGGGGACAGGTTCTGGCTCCACCCTGGCGCGACTATAGAAGTCGGTCCATTTTCTTCCAAGACGAGGCAAGATCTCGGCTACCGACGGGACCTCCTCATCTTCTACCACTTCTACTCCTCCGGTGGCTAGAGCAACATTTTCCGGTGCCAAAATTCTGATAGGGAGATCAGTGCGAGAAGAATCACCAGCCATTTTGTCAAGATGGTGTGGCAAAAAGACAATGGAAAGGAAGGATGAAAACGGGGGCGAATGAAAATTCAGAGTGCCAGGAAGAAAGTATATCCACAAAATTCTTTCAAGCAGAAGGCAAAGAAGTGTGTCAATCGAATGATGTGTTCCTTTTATTTATAAGAGACATAAATCTCCCCCCTCCCCTCCAAGCAAGAAACCCAAGAGTCGCCAATCAAATCTGATAACGTTTCGGTTCCCCAGGAACGTGTGTCATAATGGCAGCAACCACGAAACAACACTTCAATACCAAACAACATTTCGGTTCAGAAACAGCCGCAACGGTCCAAGGATATCTAAAGAACGTCAGTATCTCACTTGAAACCTAAGAAGCATAACCAAGGAACAAGTAGTCAGATTTCTCTTGAATTCGTAGCACTCATGATCCGTCTGCATGGCCCGATAGGTGACGACCCCGACAGATGGAGGGACTAACTGTATTGGTCAAAATCTGACCGTTGCGATCAAACTGACCAACTTTCCGTCCAAGCGGCAAGGCAGCGAAAGACGACATAGTCTATTCCACATCCAGCAATCTCGATACCCGTCGAGTCAGAAGAAACGATGTTTAGAGGACGACCAGGGCAGACACAGTGTGAGAGAGCGTCGGACCAAGTAAATAGCAAAGGTCCCATGACTATATATAGTGGGGGGAAACCTTCGGTCAGGGGGAGGGTTCTTCACTCCTTCCTCTCCCCTTAGTTCTCTCTTCTGTAAATCATCATGAGGAAAAGGAGAGCGAAGCAATCTCCAGAAAAACCTGTAAAACAATCTCCCTCATTGATTAATGGGAGTCACAATGAAGAATTTCAATAAAATTGATTACCTCTATTTCATCTCATATGCTATTTTTCCAATTAGCTCATGGGTCTGGAATTTATTATGTTTAACTAAGATTTACCCCTTCATTTTCTTTGATTGATTTATTCAAAAAGGTTCCAATTTCTTTTGGGTCAAACACTAGTGTTATTAACTGGGACACATATAAGACATGAATTTATGCCACAGTTTTCGAGCCCGGCTATATCTTTGAATTAGTGGTGTTCAAACCGAACCAAAAAACCGCACCAAACCAAAAAATCAAACCAAATCGATTCAAAAATCCGACTAGGTTTGGTTTGACTTGGTTTGGTATTGAGTAAAAAAAACCGAACCAAACCGTTATATAAATATATAAATTTTATCTATATTTTTAAGACTTTATAGTGAATTTTCTTTAGAAAATGTAAAAATATTTGGGATCCTCTCATGTATTAATCTTGAACGCATAAATTAACGAAACATTATTGTTAGACGACTAAGAAAATAACTATCATGTGTTACTAAAAAACTTCTCCCATTAGAATATATTAATAGATCATGTTTGTCAATTTTTTCCATATTTACTAAAGGCGTAATACATACGGAGACACCTAAAGTTGGTACGATCTTTCACTTAGACACTTAAACTAGGCCTCTTTCCAATTAGACACGTTTCTTAAGCAATTCTCATACCAATTAGACACGTTTTTTGCCGGTGGCATATAGCGTGACTTCAAACCTATTTAGGCGCGTGAAGGATTCCAATAAGTGATTTTTCCTTTCCCAATTAGACACATAACGGTAACATGGATTGTCAATTATTATTTAAACCCTAATCCCTTTCCCAATTCTTAAATAACCTATTTGTTCGCTTCTCTTCTTCTCAGATTTTTTCAGGCAATTCTCCTTCTATTCTTGTCAATTCTTTTCTTTTCATCTCTTTTTTCTCTCGTTTTTGTTCTCTTCTTGGTATCAATTAATTCTTCTCCTCTTCTTCCTCTCATTTCTGTTGTTGTCGTGTTTATTAACGTCGAACTTCTCGGAATCGACGAACTCATCAATGTCACCTTGCGCTGCTGCTCAAATCTATAAGTGTGGTGTTTCTCCAAAGTTGAATACTTCTTGGACCCAAGTAAACCCAGGTCGTAGGTTTTTTGCTTGCAAAATCGGAAAGGTAAATTGTTTGTTCATAATTTGTAAATTCTGTTTTATGAATTATTTTCTTTGATAAAAATTGATTAAAAGTGTTTTGTGATATTTGTAGAAAAAGGGTGGATGTGATTATTTCTGTTGGTATGACGATGAGATGCCTACTCAAGCGAAGAATATAATTTGGGGTTTATTAAATAGAGTCAAAGCTTTTGAAGAGGAGAAAGTTCGAGCAAAAAGAAAACGGATCCTTTTGATGATTGTTGTTGTATTGTTGGTCGTTTTATGGAAACTGTATGACTGATGTACTTTGGTTGTTTTAGGTGTTGTTGATTAATATGTAATGTTGGTGATGTTTCTTTAAACTTCTGTTTTGAAACTGTTGTTGTAATATTTAGTTGTTGTTGCTATAAACTTTTATACAACTGAATTTTGTTATAAACTTCTAAATTTTGAAACCGATGTTGTAATGTACAACTGCTGAATATTGAAAGTGCTGTAATACACAACTTCTGTACAAGGCATAGAACCATAAGATGCAGTTTCAAAATGCAGAACATATAGACTGAAGTTGCTACTCTATAGACTAATTATTTAGAACATAGAGTAACTATTCTGCCAAAACAAACAAAATAAGGTTGAAGTTGCTGCTGCATAACATATATCCAAAACAGAACAGTAAGATTACACGACTGAATACAACCATTAAAGTTTAGTTCTTTCAATAACTAGATCCCAAAATACAATAGGTTGCTGCTACATAACATATAGACAAAATAAGTTCCTAAGATACTACTTCTTGCTGAAGTTTGCCTTCATCTGCTGCAACTGGGAAGTTGTGACAGCATCTTGACCCTTCCACCTCAAGCCTCTAGCCTTAAAACCAAGGTCAATTCCTGTTGGAGCTGCACTCTTATAAGTTGAACCACTTGTCATAACTCGTTGGCTTGATGTTCCGGTCTGCAGTTTGCCAAATAATGAACCTCAATCAGTAAGTTATTTCTAAGTCATATTATAGATGAAATATGTATGAATATATACATTTAGTATTTGAGTTCCACTTGCAGCTGTGTAGATGCCAAAACCAACATTTTGGACCTTTTTTGTGCTCCTTTTTCAGCATCTTCTTTACTTGCACCCCTTCCTCTCTTTTGGCTGGTAGTTGCTTTACCCTTTGGAGGAAGTTGACTACCTAATCCTCTTTTCTAGCAGGTCTGCTCGAATCTGCTGAACTTGGTGTTGGTTGGTTTGAGCTTCTAGCTTCATTAACCCTTCTAACCCTTGTTGTATCAAAACACACAGAGTTTGCAGGTTGGCTTGAGCTTCCAGATGCATCAAGTTGGCTAGCACCTTGTGAGCTTTGGCTACCTTGCTGTGAAGGCATCCAATTTTCAGTCTACATAACATTGAGCAACAGATTACATAACAATGATGGAAACAGATTACTAGATTCATATGAACAATAGGAAACATGTGATGGCAACAAGAAATATTTGACAAGAAACATTTACCTTACAATATCTTTTGTTATGTCCTTGTTGATGGCACTTGGAACATGTCATTTTCACTCCACACTTGGACAACTTTCCATATTTCTTTTTTGGTTCATCTTTGCCTTTTCTTCTGTTCCTCTGAGGTCTACCAGGCATGGGTTTAGGTTTGGGAGGCTCTATCTTAGGATTGTTGGTTTCAGGCCACATCTTCATATTTGTCATAGGCTGGATGAAATACTTGTATGCTTTTAAGAAGGTATCCCTCTTATACCAATGCTCTACTGCCTGTTCAGGTTCTTCGTTTATGTGATAGTATGCAAGAACAACATGTTGACATGGAATACCCCTCAACTGCCAAGCTCTACAAGTGCAAACCTTATCAGTCAGATTAACTACATGCTTATGTAGTCCTTCTCCAATCTCAAATCCAACATCAGCATTCCAAAGGACAGTACATTTTCTAGCAAGCTCTTTGCTATCCTCTAACAATAGCCTTGCCATAGGTGATATATTAGATATCCAAGTATCAGCAAATTTCAACATATCCACTTGCCTAGTCATTATTTTCCTTCTAATCTCCTCCAACATAGTTATAACTGATTTATGCCTAGAATCTAAAATCCATGAATTAAAGGTCTCACACATATTATTTTCAACATCACACTTGGAATGCACTTCAAAATAAGCTCTAACCCATGACTTTTTTGGATAATATAACAAATCCCTACAAATATCCTTACCAAGTTTGTCCATTTTCTCAAGCTCTTTTTTAAACTTAACTTCATAACTAGATTTAGAGCACCTCCAAAATTGTTTTCTCCTTTCCTCTCCTTTCCATTTCTTATGCCAATTAGACCAGATATGCCTGGCACACATCCTAAATTCAGCATTAGGTAAAACTTCATTCAAAGCTGCAGCAAATCCCTACACAATAATTAATTCACAATAATTAATTCAAATTACAGCAGCATATTACTACACACAACAGAATACTTAACAGTAGAATTACTTAGCAGCAGCAGAATACTAATGAACAGCTAATTACTACAACATCTAGTTACTTAACAACAGAACAGAATACTTACCTTTTGCATATCTGCCATCACAGTCAATCCTTCTCCAGTTCCCAATTGCAAATCATCTTTCAAGTAGTTGATGAAAAAACTCCAGCTATGTTTTGTCTCCTGGTCCACAACTGCCCATGCTATAGGAAACATTTGCTGATTTCCATTCTTGCCAACAACAACTAGAAGCTCACCTTTACAAGCACCCTTTAAGAAACAACTATCAAAACCTATGATTCTCCTACATCCTTCTAACCAACCTTTCTTCAATGCATCAAAGCACACATAAAAGTAAACAAAGAGATTTTTTCCTGGCTCAGTTTCACTGTCTATCCTTACCCAACATGAGCTACCAGGATTGGTCTGTTTTATCATATCAGCATAATCACATAACCTTGCAAACTCCATATTCCAATCACCCATGGACTCTCTGAGAACACGCAGTTTAGCCCTATAACAAATTGTCTTGCCAACATACAATCCTAGCTTGTCCCTACACAACTCCTGTATTTCCCATATCCTTATGTGGGGCTGCTTAATTATTTCATCTATGAATTTCTTTGCAACAAACTTTGAAGTGCATAACTTATTCTTGTCTGAAGTATCACATTTGTGTACTGGGTAGTAGTTCTTTACTTTAAAATCACCTGAATCTCTATCAATACAAGCATAACACACCCATTTGCATCTCTTTGATTTACACTTAGCCCTCACCCTATGTGGTTCATTTGGTCTCAATTTAATCTGCACCTTGTACTCAATTGCATAATTTGCTAATGCTTTCCGAAACTCTATAGCATTCTCAAAAATCATCCTGAGTTCAAATATAGCAACTTCACAATCAGGATCATACCTGATTTTTGTACTCCTTCTTCTTGCTGGTATATCAACACCAGGAATAGCTTCAGGATCTAACTCTTCTGTGCTACCTTCACTATCAGCCTCTGAACTATCAATAAACTGCTCATCACCACCTAATTTACCTACATATCTTGAAATCTTGTTTCTTCCAATATCCTCAAATCCTCTGTCAATGCCTGCTTCTCCTAGTGGTATCTCATCTATTGCAATTGGTTTTTTTCCTCTGCTTACCCTGCCTCTTGCTCCTCCTTTCAGCCCTTAGAGATCTCAATTCATCATCAACATCTGAATCATCTTCTTCAGGAAGAACATCTTTTTCTGATTCACTACTCTCAACATCTGATTGCACTCCATCTTCATTAACATTATGGTCTGGTGGTTCATCTCCATCAGCAGCATTTACAGTTGGTTCAGAAGAATTGTGAGTTGGTTCAGCATCATTCAAAGTTGGTTCAATATGAGGCTCAATAGGTGGTTCAACAACATTGTGAGTTGGTTCAGTAGGCAGCTCAATAGGTTCTTCAGTATTTGTATTACTCCCAGGTGTTGCCTTAGCTTTAAATTGGTCATTACCACCCCCACCTACCTCTGCCTCACATAAAAGACCAACATTTTTTTCGACTACTTCAGGCTGACTCACCCCATGACACAAATAAACATCCAAAATATCACCATGTTTTAAATCTTTCACAAATTCATATAACTGAAAATCAGAAAAGACTTTGATAAAATCACCATCTTTTTCCTTTTGACAATAAAAACCTTCAACAACTGCATACCCAAGGTCTTTAGCATAAGCAGACAACTCGACAACACTAAAATGGTCTTTATCGATAGCAACAGCAAAAGCATCTAATTCCCCTTTGTATATTGGGACAGGTTGCTCGATAAATCTACCCCCATGGTGAAAGCGAGTTAAAATATAGCCATCCTCTATAATATTCCCTTACATAAGACGACAAGGGATCAGCACAAAGGAAAACCCCAAAAAAACCCTAGCTTTATCAATAACTTACAAATAAAAAGCTCTAGCTGTAGCAATAGAAAATAAGGAGAGATTGGACCTTGAAGCGTTGTAAATACGGTGAGAAATCAGTGAAAATACTAGATTCTAACACCATTGACCAAAAGAAGAAGAAGCTTAACCGTGGTAGGACCTTTCTTCGGTTTCATCAATGATAAAAGGAACAATGGTAATATGTTTAGATCGTTTGTTTAGGGCTAGTTATTTGTATTTTAGTGGAAATAACACTATATAGATGAGGTGGACATTGAGGTGGACAAAAAAAATGATATAGCACGATTTATAATGGTTACTTTTGCCACGTTGACGGAGATTGCAGAACACACGCTTGGTTAATTAATAAGCCAGCAAAAAACGTGTCTAATTGGTATGAGAATTGCCTAAGAAACGTGTCTAATTGGAAAGAGGCATAGTTTAAGTGTCTAAGTAAAATATCGTGTCAACTTTAGGTGTCTCCATATGTATTACGCCTTTACTAAATATATATTTACTTATTAAAGTCTTATCTATAATTTTAATAAAGTAAAGATTAAAATAATATTCATAAGACAAAAAAATCCGAAAATTCCGACAAAACTGAACAAATTCAAACCGATATAGTTAGTTTGGTTCGATTTTGATAAAAACTAAACCAACCCGATTCATGTAATAATTTGCAAATCTGTTTCAGCGTACGTAGTCCACTGCATCGAGTAGCAGAATTTGACCCAAAAATATAACCAATCTTATCTCAAAGCCGACAGAGAAAAAACTTGGCACTCTCTCATGCTGCCACGTTCATGTCGACTGTGCTTAATCCACGTGACACCTGTGAAGTTCTGGTGCCATCAGCCCATGCACCGGAGTTTTCCATCCCTATATCAATCCCGTTTTCGCACTCGCATTTGAAACCATTTACACTCGGTACTTTCAACAGATCAAATTGTGTAGTCAGCTTTTAATTAGTTTTACTCTCTGTTCGTGAAGAAATGTCGCACTACGAGAACCAATATAGTGCAGGCCAGGCCCTGCAGACGGATGAATATGGCAATCCCATCCGCCAAACTGACGAATACGGGAACCCAATCCATCACACTGGAGGTACCATGGGAGACTATGGAACCACCGGAACAGGAGGTGCCTATGGAACTCACGCCGGTAGTGGCGCCGGCCACACCACTGGCATACTTGGTGGGGAACATCGTCCCGGCCATGAGCACGGTACTCTCGGTGGCATGCTCCACCGTTCTGGCAGCTCCAGCTCCAGCTCTGTAAGTAATTTTTTTAAAATTTATTTTTTCACGTATTCACTACTTTCTTTGTACTCCCGTAATGATAGTTTTCGTTCGGTGTAAAATTATATCTCAAATCCAAAAGAGCTTCTTATGGATGGAGTACATAGTGCATCGGCGGTGTAATTCAGCATATTATTGTTGTATGTCTCCCTTAATTATATGCAACACTTGTCTGTGTTTTGCAGTCGGAGGATGATGGACAAGGCGGAAGAAGGAAGAAGAAAGGGATGAAGGAGAAGATTAAGGAGAAATTGCCAGGAGGTCACAAAGACGATCAGACCCATTCAACTGCAACAACTACGACTACGGGTTATGGTATGGAAGGGGAGCATCATCATGAGAAGAAGGGAATTATGGACAAGATTAAGGAGAAGCTTCCTGGCCACCATGGCCCTGGCCACCACTAGAAAATCTGCTGCGAAACAATAAATACCTTTAAAGATACATGTAAAATGTTGGTCTAATACTTTTGTATTTCAAGGTTGTTTCTAGTTGGTCTTTGCTGAGTTCTGAAGCGTGGCACTATTTGAATAAAGCCATGGTAGACTCTTAAGTGCTAGTGGAAGCAGTGTCTTACATGTAATAAGTACGTTGTATCATGTGCCTCGTTATAGTGATGTGCCGTGGATATATTTAAATTCGCATGAACATTTCTTTCTTGCGTGGGATTCCGAGGTAATATTTAAGGGTTCGATCACATGGATGATGATTTGATAGCAAATACTACAAACAGCCATAGCATAGTATCGGGCTGTAACGTAACAAGGATTGCGAAACCAAAAAAAGGGTAATGGAACGACTATTAGTTTCTCATCTCTTAATATAATCAGTGATGCAAAAGAATTGTAAAACAGTCATGGAACGAATATTAGTTTCCCATCTTTTATTTTATGCAAGAGAATTGGTACATAAACAGACGAGGAAGACGTGAGAAATGAGAAAGAACCAATACCTGAACCAGTGCTAGGTACATTTGTTTTTAAGATAAAAATCCTTCTCCTTCTGCTGCTCAAGTTAGATTACAAGAGAGTAAAAATTGGACACAACAAAGTGCTGCTTAAGTTATTAGATTAGAAGAGTGAGTAAAAATTGGACACACCAAAGTGAGAAAGGATACTGAGGTCCAGCTGAACGCTCGTTGTATCATAGGTACGAGGCAATTGCTTCGATTTTTTCCTGAACATGTTCTGTGACCAGATAAAAGTACATGAAGTTTCCTGCTTACCTGCATTGTCTACCCAGAGGAGCCTTTCCTGGTTCCCAGGAATAGCATGTTTCCTGCTAGCATAGTTCTCCATAGAATTTAAGCCACAGATGGGATCAGGGTTGAATCATGTCTGCACCAACATCGAGATCCAATTTCAACACATCCCAGCAAATTTAAGTAACACAGGCATCAGAGTTGAGTCTGATGGAACGTATCATCTGCCAGACAACCGAGTTTGCAATAATATTGAAGTCGCACAGTTACTGTCAAAGATCTTCTGATCCCAACACACAGTACCAACTTCAGGATCGCCTATCTTCGCAACTCACATCCAGGGAGTATTGCCCTTCAAATTCACAGGAAACGATACCACAAAAAAATAACTTAAAGTCAGAAAATGCAAGGGTGAGAGGACGAAAAATATCAGCATCTTTGAAGCATGTAAAAATTATTAATATTCTAAGTCATTCCTTAAAGGAGAAACTATAAAAAGGAAATAGTATCCCAGTTGTTACAAGGCTTTGCGAGAACGCGCGGAGATCAATCCTGTTGCCTGTTCCTGTCACCTAGGCTATCTTACGATGTTAAAATATCAAGTTTGAGAGAAAGATGGATCTTATTTTCACCATGATACTAGCCTTTCTATGTAAAATTTACTTCTGGAGATGGCTGTCTTTTATAGAGCTAGTTCCATATTTCCATACACTCTGCAAATTAGAATGTAGATGAGCTTGTTTATTCCGACCAGTTGAAATCCAAAGAAGTTCACAACCTCAGAGCAACACGTAATTTTTATTTTAATTTGCCAGCAGTAACCATTGAGTTCCACAAACTTTCAGAGATGTCATTTATTTCCACTAATCAATTAGGTTTCAAAGTTAACTAAACTCGGTACTGATCAACAATTTGTCAAATAAGATTCTAAATGAGAGTTGTAAGTATGTCCCAGGTGAGTGCAATCTTAAACTGACACTAAATGTATATATATCCAGTATAGGTACCTGTCATATAGGTTGGCACCTTGGATCATTGACAATTAGGGAACTTAGGTTTGCCCTTGAATGAATTTATCATACACTTCAGTTGAACAAGAATCCCAATTCCTCACTTCAAAAGCAACTCAAAACCATTTTGAATAACTGGGGAACTTGTGACCGAGTAATGGCTATCTCCAAAGAAAAAGGATCCTTCAAACTCACACAGAATTGCACTTGAGAGAAATAAGGGTCCTTCTATCAATTACCAAAAGTTACCACAAGAGCATACACCATTTCGGAAATGGTGAAATCTCTTGTTATCCCTGATAATAATCTCCCTGCCAATGACTTGAGATGCACCGCACATAAATGAGTGGCAATCTTCACATATTCTTAGATTTTTCATGATCCTAATGATAGACCCAGTATCAGTAATAAGCAACCCATATGCCAAAGCCAGCTTCTCACTATGTGTGAGAAGTATCCGCTTTTTATGTTCCTCACTCAGATCATAAGGCACAGAACTTAAGTTTGGCTCATAGCCATGTTTCTCAAGCCGACCAACAAGATCCTCAAGTGCTTCCTTAATCTCTTTCGACTTTAGGTGGGTCATATCACCAGCGTAGAACTCATGAATCATCCCCTCCTTGCCCTCAATCCAGCTCCGTGAAGGATCCTTTCTCAGCAGTTTTTGTTTTATTAATTTTCTTACCCCTAAAACATCTTCCCACCTTCCTGCTGAAGCATATGTATTGGCAAGCAGGACATAGTTTCCAATACTACCAGGTTCAAGCTCAAATAAACGGCTAGCAGCAACTTGTGCAATTTCAGGATTACCATGAATCCGACAAGCTCCTAGTAGGGCTCCCCAGACACCACTATTAGGCTCCATTGGCATAGCTTTGATAAGCTGAAGAGCTTCTTCTAGTTGCCCAGCCCTGCCAAGGAGATCAATCATGCAAGCATAGT